TTGACTACTGTGCATCCATCTATTTTCTCTCTAGCCAAACTTGAGAAATTGAATCTTCGTTACTGTGGATCCCTTACCATACTTTCAAGTGATTCCCATATGCATAGCCTCAATTATCTCATCCTTGTTTATTGTAAGAATCTTACTGAATTCTCAATTATATCAAAAAATATGGAAAAATTGGACTTATCATGGACAAAGCAAATGAAAGCACTTCCCTCGTCATTTGGACATCAAAGAAAGCTTAAATCACTAAATCTAACAGAAAGTGGCATTCAGAGGTTACCTTCATCCATCAACAATCTTACGCAACTGCTACATCTAAACCTAAGCTGTTGCCGTGAGCTTGAAACAATACCAGAGCTTGCCCCATCACTTAAAACTCTAGATTTTAGAGATTGCAAGTCACTTCAAAGTATTCCAGAGCTTCCCCAGACCCTTTTATGTTTAGATGCTGAAAACTGTGAATCACTTCAAACTCTACCAAAGCTTCACCCATACCTTAAAACTCTAAAACTCAGAAACTGCAAATCACTTCACACCATACCAAATCTTCCCCCTTCCCTTGAAACTTTAGATGCCCAATCTTGCAGTTCACTTCAAACTCTACCAATGCTTCCCCTATCCTTGAAAAATATAAACGCTAGAGATTGCAAATCGTTGAAGACAATGTTATTGCTCCCTTCAACATCTGTTGAACAATTAAGGGCAAACAGGACACGAGTTCTGTTATGGAATTGCTTGAACTTGGATCAACATTCTCTAGTTGCTATTCAGTTGAATGCACAAATCAGTGTGATGAATTTTGCAGATCACAATAAAGTTGTTTATGTGTATCCTGGAAGCTTTGTTCCAGAGTGGTTGGAGTATAAGAGAACAAATAATTATGTAATTATTGATCTCTCTTCTACTCCATCCTCTCCCATGCTTAACTTCATTTTTGGCTTCGTCCTTGGTAACTATGAAGGAACAGCAATTGAAAATGAACTTACAGTTAAAATCACTTTAAGTGACGGTGATGGTGAAGGTGAAAGGGACAGTGTTGAAATGATCATAGATTATTGTCGTTGGACAATTGAGTCGAATCATGTGTGTGTGATGTACGATCGAAGATGTTCTAACTTCCTAAATAGTAGAGCCCAAAATCAAACAAGCTTTAAAATCCAAGCTCAAATAGTGTTACACACATATCACACACTCTTCAGAAAAACTACTGTCATGCGGCCGGATATGGTACTAGGATTCGGGGTCAGTGCAATAACCAGCTCGACATATAACAATTTCATTCAACAAATGTCAATGTCTCAGTTCCATTAAGCACGTGGAATTGGGTTGTGTGCTTCCTATAATCTCAGGTATTTCCTTCCTCCAGTCTACAACCAAATCTTTGATTTAGAAGACTCTGTCATTTCATATTATATTAACTTATTTGGTTACAACATTAAGTTATTAAAAAGTTAACATTTGAACCTACTAAGCTCTTAAGCAAGTAAGTACAAGTAACTATAGAAGGGGCCATTCAGAGTTTACCTCCACCCATCAACAATCTTACGCAACTGCTACATCTAAACCTAAGCTGTTGCCGTGAGCTTGAAACAATACCAGAGCTTGCCCCATCACTTAAAACTCTAGATTTTAGAGATTGCAAGTCACTTCAAAGTATTCCAGAGCTTCCCCAGACCCTTTTATGTTTAGATGCTGAAAACTGTGAATCACTTCAAACTCTACCAAAGCTTCACCCATACCTTAAAACTCTAAAACTCAGAAACTGCAAATCACTTCACACCATACCAAATCTTCCCCCTTCCCTTGAAACTTTAGATGCCCAATCTTGCAGTTCACTTCAAACTCTACCAATGCTTCCCCTATCCTTGAAAAATATAAACGCTAGAGATTGCAAATCGTTGAAGACAATGTTATTGCTCCCTTCATTTTATGTGATTTGAATCATTCACATCATCGAGAACAATAAAAACCTTCATACAACAAATTCTCCCAACAATATCTTCTGGCAATGAATTTGGTGTGTGAATTTTCAAATCATATCCTAATAGTCCAGAAAATAATTTTTCTTTCAAACAAATTATTCCTTGTTTGTTTGATTCTTCTCTTTCATGGGCCAAAAAATAACAACCTTCATATTCAGACTGTAATTTATTAAATACTTCTTCTGCAAGGGTTGTTTTTCCGATACCGCCCATACCCCAAATTCCAATAAGACAAATGTTTTTCAACTCTTTTCTTATCCATGATTCTGTAGTAGCAATTCTTTCGTCAATTCCAACAAGTCCTTTTGAATTAACAGGGGGTTTAACCAACCTCTTCAACACAAGATTGCATATTTCTTTAACCAGCTCAGCATCATTTCTATATGACACACAAACAAAGACAATATGTTAAAATCAATGGAGATTTTTCTTAATATTTTCCTTAGGGATAAGGACTTCTTAACAATCAAGTACTCTTAATTCTAATCTTTTATTTTTCTCCCAATCTAACTGTCTTAGTGAATAATTCATCTTTTAACAATTAAGTTGAAAGAAAATAAAAGATGAAGATAAAGAATTACTATTTTTTAAGTTATTTTTAAAGTAACTTAATAGATATATTAATTTAAAAATATCTTTAAAAATTAGAAATTGATTATATTTAAATGTATTACTTGTTTGTAATTTAAAAACTAAATTTGGTGAACCAACAAAGCATGGTTGGTCCCATCAGAATTCTAGCATAATGTCATCTGGCTAAAACTATATTATGCTATAGTAATAACTAATAAGCACAAACTATATATATTCTGCTGAAAACAATTTAAAAAATAAAGGTTAAATCATTTTGCAATTTAACCAATAATACATAAACTATATAACAACCAGAAAATATTGAACATTCATGGAGAAGAAGGAGCTTACAGAAATTTTGATGACTCAATTCCAGATAAATCAGCAGACTTATTCAAAGCACACCTCCAGAGTTGTACCTTGGTATTATGCTTACTTTCATGCTTAGCAAATGCATTTTTGTAACTCCCTGATTGGTGTCTTACATCTGTAGGTTCTACATCGTAGAAAACAGGGATTACACTTCTTTCGTATTTCTCTTTGCATTCAAGTATTTTCACGAGTTCTTCTAAACACCAACGAGAAGAAGCATAATCTGGTGAGAATATGATCAATGAAATGGCTGATCCTTCAATTGCTGCAACAAGTGATGGCCATATTTCTTGTCCCTTCTTAAGATTTTTATCATCTACAAAGGCGTTTATTTTCTTCCTTTGAAAAGTGTCACTCAAATGGCTAAGAAACCCGCGACGAATATCTGGACCCCTAAATCTAACAAAAACATCATACTTTACTTGAGGAGTGTTGTTTTCTGAAGACATGGGTTTTTCCTCTAGACCCTTCAGTTTTCGAAATAACCGAGACAAACAAAAACAAAATACACACAGAAATAAACAAGGAATTACAATATATTTAATTTCCAAATTAACTTGGACACAAAGTATACAGTGTTGGATATATAGAAACAAGTGCAAACTGAATCTTTGTTTGTCTCTGTTAGGTCCAGAGTAGGCTTAATAGTTACTCACAGCTATATACAGTTACTAAGATTCAATATCTCAAGTTTGGCTAGAGAGAAAATAGATGGATGCACAGTAGTCAAACTTTCACAACTAGAGAGATCCAATACTTCAAGATTTATAGCTTTAGATAAATCTGGCAGCTCCTTTAACTCAGAAGATCCATCGAGGTAAACACCTTTTAAACTCACCAGGTTCTGTAATAAAATAGAGATATCAAATGCACTAAATTAGTTAATTTGGTCTCAACGATGCAACAATAAAATTATAACAGTGAGATACTTATTTACCTTCACTCCATCCCAAAGTTTTTCCAGTTTGCTCAGTTGTAATTTCAATATTACTAGTTTTTCGGCAGAAAAGTTTTGTGGCAAGGATTTTAGAGGGTAACAATCCCAAGAAAGAAATCTTAATTCAGTTGCCAAAAATAGAGGTCCTTCACCAAGTTGATTTTCGAAACCATAATATGCATCTTCCCTTGAAATTTCCAGAAATTTCAGTTTGCTCATCTTAGCAAATATGTGAGGCCTTAACTTTAGTCCCCTAATTGTTGTCAACTGAATTCGTATGCTTCTAATGGCCTCAGTAACCTGCCATCAATGTTAAAGAAAATTTTTAACCATCACCAAAAAGCCACATTTCTCTAATAAAGAAAATTCATATGTCATTAAAAAGATATAATTAGTTAGGATTTAAACCTTGTCATTTTTCAGTACTTCATAAATGTCATTGGGATCCCATAATCGGCTGCGGCTTCCAGAGTCTTCAATAGACTCTTGACGAACAATCTCACATGCCATTTCTTGTAAACTATCATGCATAGACACAATATTATCCTCTGAAAAAGATATAAGAGCTTTGTCTTTCAACCTTTCTAGCCCAAAAATCACTGAATTATCACTTTTATCATCTTTTAGTAAAGATTTTAGATTATCTACATTTATCTTTGTAGACAATTTGAGAAAGAAACATGCAAGATCTAGAAAAATTTGTTTCTCTTTGCGATCTAGATCATCAAAACTGAGTTTCATTTTGTCGTAAACTTTCGTAGGAGGAATTTTTTCAAGTTTGGATAATTCACTTTCCCATACTTCCTTATTTTTTCCACAAAGAAGACGAGCTAAAACTTTAAGTACTAATGGAACACCTTTGGAATAATTGACCACCTTTTTTGATAGCTCATTGTACTCCTTGTGAAGATCACTTTTGTTAAAGGCATTCAAATTGAAAAACTGAAGTGCTTCACTGGAACTGAGTTCTGTAAGCTTCTGATAACCAAGAGATAGTGCACAACCTTCATGTGTTAGAGCTAAATGCATCATCCCTTCTGAAAAGGAAATTTTCACCAAACAAGAAAAAATGGAAACTGTTGAATAGATGATTTTGAATGCCTCAACTAAGTCTTTTGTCAAATCTTTATACCAAACCATATATCACATGAAAGAAATAGATAACACAAAAGAATATAGAGACAACAATATCATGCCAACTCGAAATCTGATTATTCAATGTTTTCATCTGAATAGTGTGTTTTGGAATATGGGATGAAGCCTAAAAAACATAGACAACTAGTGTAGAAAGTTATGTGTTAATTAATTTAATTTTTACATATTTAGTCCTCATCAATCATCACATTTTTATGATAATTTTTTCTCAATACTTAAAAAAATAAATATGGTACACTCAATAGTACCTTGTGACTAGTTTTTTAAACTAGCAATTAATTTTACCTTTTCTTATGTACTTTGGGGTTGAGGAAGTCAAGGTAGGGGAGCATTTGTCTAGCCTAAACCTTGGACAAATTAAAAAGTTTACAACATAAAGACACAGTATCAATACGAGGCAATGGAAGAATTAATATTCAAAATATGCTAGAGTCAAGGAAAAGTGATACTACTTGAGAAATTATATGATCTTCATTAGTTGCTAAAGATGATGCAGAAGGAAAATATTGATAACACCAAAGCAAGACCAAAACTTTCAGTTTCAGAACAGAGTAATGCTATATAGTCTGAATTTATCATCTGAAATTTTTTCCAAACACAAAAGATTCAAGTCAGTGAACTTACACATTTGACTTTTCAAAAAATTTTAACGTTCGGAAGATATTTTGGAATTTAAATTCGGAGGATTTAGCATTTTTGTTCAGAATATATACCTTATCCTATAAATTTACAACCATGTAGAGCCACAATTGTAATGTGCATACTTGAAAATTAATTATCACAATCATTACTTCGTCCATGGTCATATTCCTTTTCAATAAGGGTTCTCCGTTGTTTTTAGTAGGCTTGCATATTGTTGTCTTTTGAGTAATAGTTACTTGTACTTACTTGCTTAAGAGCTTAGTAGGTTCAAATGTTAACTTTTTAATAACTTAATGTTGTAACCAAATAAGTTCATATAATATGAAATGACAGAGTCTTCTAAATCAAAGATTTGGTTGTAGACTGGAGGAAGGAAATACCTGAGATTATAGGAAGCACACAACCCAATTCCACGTGCTTAATGGAACTGAGACATTGACATTTGTTGAATGAAATTGTTATATGTCGAGCTGGTTATTGCACTGACCCCGAATCCTAGTACCATATCCGGCCGCATGACAGTAGTTTTTCTGAAGAGTGTGTGATATGTGTGTAACACTATTTGAGCTTGGATTTTAAAGCTTGTTTGATTTTGGGCTCTACTATTTAGGAAGTTAGAACATCTTCGATCGTACATCACACACACATGATTCGACTCAATTGTCCAACGACAATAATCTATGATCATTTCAACACTGTCCCTTTCACCTTCACCATCACCGTCACTTAAAGTGATTTTAACTGTAAGTTCATTTTCAATTGCTGTTCCTTCATAGTTACCAAGGACGAAGCCAAAAATGAAGTTAAGCATGGGAGAGGATGGAGTAGAAGAGAGATCAATAATTACATAATTATTTGTTCTCTTATACTCCAACCACTCTGGAACAAAGCTTCCAGGATACACATAAACAACTTTATTGTGATCTGCAAAATTCATCACACTGATTTGTGCATTCAACTGAATAGCAACTAGAGAATGTTGATCCAAGTTCAAGCAATTCCATAACAGAACTCGTGTCCTGTTTGCCCTTAATTGTTCAACAGATGTTGAAGGGAGCAATAACATTGTCTTCAACGATTTGCAATCTCTAGCGTTTATATTTTTCAAGGATAGGGGAAGCATTGGTAGAGTTTGAAGTGAACTGCAAGATTGGGCATCTAAAGTTTCAAGGGAAGGGGGAAGATTTGGTATGGTGTGAAGTGATTTGCAGTTTCTGAGTTTTAGAGTTTTAAGGTATGGGTGAAGCTTTGGTAGAGTTTGAAGTGATTCACAGTTTTCAGCATCTAAACATAAAAGGGTCTGGGGAAGCTCTGGAATACTTTGAAGTGACTTGCAATCTCTAAAATCTAGAGTTTTAAGTGATGGGGCAAGCTCTGGTATTGTTTCAAGCTCACGGCAACAGCTTAGGTTTAGATGTAGCAGTTGCGTAAGATTGTTGATGGATGAAGGTAACCTCTGAATGCCACTTTCTGTTAGATTTAGTGATTTAAGCTTTCTTTGATGTCCAAATGACGAGGGAAGTGCTTTCATTTGCTTTGTCCATGATAAGTCCAATTTTTCCATATTTTTTGATATAATTGAGAATTCAGTAAGATTCTTACAATAAACAAGGATGAGATAATTGAGGCTATGCATATGGGAATCACTTGAAAGTATGGTAAGGGATCCACAGTAACGAAGATTCAATTTCTCAAGTTTGGCTAGAGAGAAAATAGATGGATGCACAGTAGTCAACCTATAACAAAAAGAGAGATCCAATACTTCAAGATTTATGGCTTTAGATAAATCTGGCAGCTCCTTTAACTCATAAGAATGCTCGAGGTAAACACCTTTTAAACTCACCAGGTTCTGTAATAAAATAGAGATATCAAATGCACTAAATTAGTTAATTTGGTCTCAACGATGCAACAATAAAATTATAACAGTGAGATACTTATTTACCTTCACTCCATCCCAAAGTTTTTCCATTTTGCTCAGTTGTAATTTCAATATTACTAGTTTTTCGGCAGAAAAGTTTTGTGGCAAGGATTTTAGAGGGTAACAATCCCAAGAAAGAAATCTTAATTCAGTTGCCAAAAATAGAGGTCCTTCACCAAGTTGAACTTCGAAACCATATGCATCTAATTCGCTTGAAATTTCCAGAAATTTTAGTATGCTCATCTCTACAGAAGGTAACGGGAAAGAAAAAGAAGGTTAGAATTAAAGTGGGGAAATCATAGTTTATAAAACATAAACTTAGTTGATAATAGCTACAACAAGTTCAAATGAGGAAGGAGGAAGATGTTATATGAGTGACATACAATACTAGTTTCTGATGGATTAGCAAGCTTTTGAAATAAGCCTTGGCTCTTATTTTCTTTGGACAAAAGTGAATAACTGACGGAGATCACAGGAAAACAGTCGTTGACCTTGAATATTAGGGTTCGAAGTAAACCTTTATCATGTATGTTTTGGAGTGTCACTCTACTGATCTTGCATGTTTAGAAGCAATTTCATGGAAAGTACCACAAATATACAATAATGAAGGAAAAGCAATTGTATTTTAGCTTTACATACAGCCGAGAACTGCACCTAATATTATAAAATAATAATATATAAAAGACTATACAAAGACAATTGGCTAGACCCCATAAGAAAGATAAGATTATATATAAAGACCTACACATATGTCCAACTGATTCAACCCGCAAATGTTTGTTTTTGTGGCTGCGTGCTGCACATGTAAAACGGCCGGCATTTTCACTTGAAAAAATGGGAACTGATGAATGGACGAGTCTGAATACCTCAAACTATTCTTCTGCACGTTCTTTGGCTCCATATATGTACCAAATCATCAGGCAAACTTTTCTGCCATCAAAGGGAGAATAATGGGTTGTGTAAGATATGATTTTGTTACCAAAGTAAAAAAATTCCACTTGCAAAGATTTTGATCAATTTTGTTCATCTTATCATTTGCTTTTAAGGATGGTTATCAATTTAGTCATGAAATTTTTAGTCCTACATTTAACGAAATTAGAATTCTCCTACATAAATGTAAATATATTGGATATGATATAAATATAGAAAGAAGGTTAGTGGTAAATATATTATACAAAATATAAACTTTTACTGATATTAAGAAAAGATTATTACATTGATAAAAATGTATCTTATTTTTATATAAAAAAAATAAACACAACTTTCCTCTTACACGGGCCTACTATTATCTCGTGTGGACTCCACATGCAATAATCAAGAAATGTATGTATATGGCTTTCAATCTCCGAAATTTAAAAACATGAATATAGTGACAGCTATATCATGCCAAATCATATTAAGTAAAGCTATATACCCTACAATCCCTTTGTTCTCTATTGGGCTCAAATCTTTTGGGCTCCAATTGTTACGCGGCCCACTTCCAGTAAAGTGATCATTTCCTTTGCCTCGTGATATATATACTTTTTTTTTATAGGTACACCTCCTTTTTTTTTTAAAAAAAAATAATAATAAAATTTCTAAAATATCCTTAAATTTTATCATTTTAATTTTTTAGTTTTACACCCCCAATATTTAATTTAACATTTTTTTATACACCTTCTCTTGTTTTTACATGCACCTTCTTATTTTTCCTTTACCTACACCTATTTTGGTAGATAGTTTTAGTTATTTTAGTTTTACATTACTCTTTTCCTCCTCTTCTTTCATTTTTCTCACTATTATCTTCTCTATCAAAAGAAGGAAGTGTGTGAGAAAAAAGAAAAAAAAAAATAAATTAAAAGTTGGAGATATGAAATAAAAAAATAAAAAAAATAATGAATATTTTAGAAATTTCTTTTTTTTTTAAAAAAAAAAAGGAGGTGTATATATCATAAGCCACAATTGTATTGTATGCTGCACCAAAATCATTCCTATACCTCTTGGAGTAAGGAATTTTGGAAATTTTGAAGTGAGGATTATTTGAGCAAAGTGTGAATTTCCATCATTGCTTCTTTCAATGACAACATTTCGGACCCCAAAATATATCCCTCCGATCAAATACTTTAGGTGGCATTTGGTAGGTTGGACCAATTTTTTTAGGATCCCTAACAATAAAAATAGTAATGGAAGTAAATATCAGCAAATGAGTGAAATTAATGAGAAGAGAAACTATGTTAATTCTGAAAAGAAGAATCATGTAAACCAGATCCTATGGTTCCTGACCAGAGATTATGCTACTTAGAGAAGAAGTTTCTATGCCAATCAAGGCTATGTTATAAACTCTCCACACTTAGTCTGTTTCAATATAAATTTATAAGTAAAATTTTGAAAACTGTTAAGTATTTTTGTTTTTAGTAAGAGTTCTCAATAACTATTTTAAGCAAGTATCCAAAGAGATTCTCACTGTCAATGATCAATTTTTTCTCGGGTTTTATTTTTTATTTTTCCAATGTAGACCCTCCATATCTTGGGCATGTCATACATAGGCCCATCACTGACAGTAGCATCAATAGATTCATCTCATGGTCTCTATCAAAGTTAAGGTAGGAAACTACTTTTCTTTCCTAAACATTTTTATGGCTTGTAAGAATTTATGACATGAAGACACATAATATGAGGTAATATGTGGAATGTGGATTAATATGCAAAAGAATGCAAGATCCAAGAGAAAGTGCTACAACATATGCAATTTTATGTGTTTGAAGTAAGTGGTGATGCTGAACGAAAGAGCTTCTTTCTTTGCTTCTACCATACAAAAATCTAGATAATACCTGCATATATAAGACAAAAACTTTCAGTTTTAGAATATGTATCAATGTATCACACACTTCAAATCCACAAACATGCAAGCAATAACGTGCTCCACTTTTATTGAAAATTACCACAATAATCAGTTGGTAACAGTACATCTTCCTTGGTAATTTTGAGTAAACTTGCAAACTATATATATTTTCTTTTAAGTATTATTTGTAATTGTTTCATTTGTTTGTTTAAGAACTTAGTTGGTTCGATGATATAATAGATAACTTTAATATAAGAACTCACAATAATAACTTAATGTTGTAACAAGTGGAAGTTCTTAAACCATGAAATGTTACACATTCTTTCAAGGGTAAAATTTATTATAAATCCTTCAGTTTTTTGGTCAAAATTAGTCATAGTCTCTGTACTTTAAAAACCATGATTTTGATCTTGGTATTTTTTATAATTAGAAAATTTTGTCCTTAACCTAATATTCTAAGAGGGATGAAATTCACCGATTATAAAAATTATGATAATCAAAATCATCAACTTTTAAGTATAAAAATTACGTTAAAATTAAAAATTGAAATACCTAAAACAAATTTTACCATTTTTTTAATCAAAGATTTCAATAGGAAGTACCTGAGATAATATGAAACTTGGCCCAATTCTTAATGAAAGACGGACATTGAGTCACGCAATTCTATTTGTTGAATGAAATTGTTGTATGTCAAGCTGCTTATTGAGCTTATTACACCAAATCCTTTTAAAACCTGAACCTGACTTTCCCATTGAGCTTTCAGGCCAACCATTTTGTGCCCACTTTCTAACTTGGATTTTGATCCTTGTTTGATTTTTTGCTCTGCTATTTAGGAAGAAAGAACATCTTTCATTGTACATCACACACACACAATCTAATTTAGTTAGGTGATGTCCATCATAAGAGAAATAATCTATGTACATTTTGACTTGATCCTTTTTACCTTCACTCTCATCATCACTTATGGTGATGTGTTAAGTTCAAGTTTCTTAACCATTTCTATGTGTGGGTACTCACCAAGGACGAAGCAGAAAATAAAGCCAACGATGGCGCAAAGTGAGGCAAAAGAAATATCAATATTTATATAATCCTCTGTTGTCTTGTATTCTAACCACTTTAGAAGAATGTTTCCTGGATACATGTAAATTGCTTGATAATCACAATAATCGCAATATCCAACATGGCTGTGGTCCAGTGTAGATAGGTGTTTATTTGCAAATTTCATCAAGCTTTGTTTTGCATTCAACTTAATAGCCCCCAGAGAATGTTCATCCAACTTTCCAACAATTCCAGAACACAACTTGTTTCCTATTTTCTTTCAAATTTTCAAAAGCCATTGAAGGAAGAAATAAAATCTTCACAGATATGCAACCTCCAACATTTAGGAGACCTTTGGTACGCAAAATGTTTTTACATTTCTTGAAATCTTAATTTCCTATATTTGGTAGCTATTTTAAAAAAAACACAACAATGTAATTTTCCAAAAATCATTTTTGTCTCACTTTCCCACAAAATTATTTTCAAGAGGGAGGTGAAAATTCAACTTTAATTTCCTAATTTAGGGGAAAAGCTTAATACATATAAAAAGATTACTGTATCCTTTTTTTTAAAATAATATATCTCTCTCACTTTCACTCTTCCTCTCTTCCTCTCTCCCTCTCCCTCTTTCTTTCTTTCTCTCTCCCCTTCTATTTCTCTTTATCCCTCTCTCCCACTCTCACCCTCACTCCCCCTCTCTTACTCTTTCCTCTCTCCCTTTCTTTCTCCATTTCTCCTTCTCTTTCTCTTTGTCTCTCTCACTCTCATTCTCACTCCCCTTTCTTCCTCCCCCCTCTCTCTCCTCTTATATTTTTATTTCTCTCTCTTTCTTATATTTTATTATTTATTTAACTTCTCAATTTTAATAATATTATTAAAGTCTATTTTGTTTCTATAGTTTAATAATATTTGTTAAAACTTTTCAATTTATTTATTTGAATGAAATGAAATACAATTTTTTATCCTTCTTAATTATCATGTATCATTTTTATTTTTTTATTTTTTTTTAATTCTTTATTTAAATAATTTTAACTATAAATTTATAATTTTTTAAAATTAGTTTAATGTCATAATTGTTATACAAGATTTGAGTAAATAAATATATCTAATATGTTTATTTTAATAAAGGATATTTTTGTAAAAAAACATTTATATTTCCAAGCACTAGTGAAAAATTAGTCTTTTACGTCAACATTTTCTCGTTAGTCATAAAAATACTCAACGTAAAAAATATGCGTGACATTTTTTAAATTAATCTAAACTTTTTTATGTCGGACCAAAGGGGGTCCGACGTAAAAACTAAAATCTATGTCGAATATGAAGTACAGTCTAACGTAGATTTCAATTTTTATGTCGGACCCCTTTTGACCTAACGTAAA